GTCTCTGCGTTGGCTTGGATGGCGGACATGTACTTGTGCACCACTGCCACGCCTTGCCTTCCCTCGCCTTGCTCAGCGCAGAGTTTCCGGAGGAGCAGGATGCCGCGCTGGTTCGCGGAGGTTTGGGCTTTCAGGTCCGAGATGTTGTCGGCGAGACGGCGGGAGGTGGAGCAGCCTGGGAAGGAGCCCGCTTTCTCAAAGGCGGCGACGACGTCGGATTCGAGAAAGTGGCCGCGGGAGACGATTTTGAGGGTGGGTACGTTGAGGCCTTCTTCCCAGAGCTGGCGGGACTCGGGCATCATTGAGGTGATGCCTTTGCCGCCTATGTCTGTGTGATGGCCGCGGGAGGCGACATAGAAGGCGATTTCTTGGGTGGTGGGTTCGTCACCATCTGTCTTGTCGGTAGCGTCAGAACCGGCGGAGGGTGATCCGGTATCGACAAAGACGGGCGTGACAACGGTCAAATCTGGGAGATGTGTGCCGCCCCATTGCGGGTGGTTTGTCAGGAGGACGTCGCCGGGTTGGAGGCGGCCTTTCCAGTGGCGGTGTTGTTCTTGGATGGCGAATTGCATGGAGCCGAGGTGGATGGGGATATGGGGCGCGTTGGCGACGAGTTTGCCCTCTGGGCTAAAGATTGCGCAGGAGAAGTCGAGGCGTTCTTTGATCGAGGTAGAAATTGCGGTGCGTTGGAGGGTGGTGCCCATTTGTTCTGCGATGGCCATGAAGCGGTGAGCGAAGACGGAGAGGAGGATTGGGTCTGTGGTTTCTGTTGCCTCAGTTTGGGGTATTTGTGTCGGCGCTGTGGAGGTGGAGAGGAGTGATGTTGATGAAGCTATTGCGGAAGCTTGTTTCTCGAGGAGGACGTGGGAAGAAAGGATGTACGCGTTGAACGTTGGTGATACAAAGATTGTCTGCGTCTGGTCGATGAGCAGTGCAGGGCCCTCGATCACGACGCCCCTGGGGACTTCATCCAGACGATACACGCCCGTCTCGCGCCATTCGCCGTCAATGTACACCCTCTGCTTCACGCTCGGCTCCGGGGCAGCAGCTACACCACTGCTAGCACCGCTCCTCCTATCCGCGAGCTCCTGAGTCGCTGACGTCTCCCGCATCCCGAACGCGCTCCCCGCCGCGCTGCCTGTTCCGCGGACCTTGATCGACTCAATGACGATGTCCCGATCCATCGAGAAGGCAAACTCGCGGAGGTGCGTAGCCTTGAAGCTCGCGGCATAGTCACCATCGTCGGGACGGGAAATTGTGAGGTTGGTATCGGTGCCAAAGTACCGCAGCACAAGACTCTCATCAAACACCAGAGAAGCTTCATCCGCGCCCTGAGAGACTAACTCTTGCGTCACCTTCTCCTTCAGCGCAGCCAGACGGTCAGCGACATGGGATGCTACGGTCCCTTGCACGGCGCCGTCGCTGTTTTTGAATTTCGCGCCGTAGGGCTCCAGGGTCTCGCTCTGTAACTCTGCCTGCGCGATGCCGTATGCCGAAAGCAGAGAGGAGAATTTGTGAATGAAGATGCGGCGGATACCGAGTTTGTCGGCAATCTCGCAGGCATGCTGGCCACCCGCGCCGCCAAAGGAGACGAGATTGTGGGTTTCGGGGGCGAAGCCGCGGGCTTCGGTCGCGTTGCGGATGGGGCGGGCCATTGTTTCGTTTGCAACGTCTAGGAAGCCCAGGGCTACGTCGTGCGGTTGGAGAGTCTGATTCGTCTGCTCGTTGAATTCTTCCGTGATTTGTTTAAACTTCTCCTCAACGACGGCGGTATCAAGCGGTTCGGAGGCCGACGGTCCAAAGATGGAAGGGAAAGAGGACGGGACGAGGCGCCCGAGGAAGAGATTCGCATCCGTGACGGTCAGAGGCCCGTTCTTGCGGTAACATGCCGGCCCCGGGTGCGCGCCGGCGCTCTCGGGTCCTACAGCCAAAAGACCACTGCGCGCAAAGAGGATCGAGCCGCCGCCAGCCGCTACGGTTGCGATGTTGAGCATGGGCGTGGTGATTGTGCGGCCCGCGATGGAGGTCTCGGTGAGGTAGTCGTACTTTCCATCGTACCGCGAGACATCCGTGCTGGTGCCGCCCATGTCGAGACCGATAACGGGCGTGCCGTCCTGCGGGTCATAGCAGGACCTCGCGATGCCAACTACGCCGCCTGCGGGGCCGCTGAGGAGTGCCTCGTTGCCGCGGAAGCGGGAGGCTGCTTTCAGGCCGCCGTCGGAACACATGAAGTCCACGCGGCGCGGTGGGGCATCGGGGAGGAAGCCAGCGTGGAAGGAGGCGACGTAGCGCTGGATGACGGGGTAGAGGTAGGCTTCTGAGCATGTTGAGGTGCTGCGGTTGAGGAACTTGATGGTCGGGGAGGTGGAGGAGGAGGTTGTCACGTAAGAGAAGGCGAACTCCGGGGAGCGGGCGAGAGAGGCGACGAGGTCTTCGTGGGCCGGGTAGAGGTAGGCGTGCATGAAGGAGATTGCGAGGGAGGTGTAGCCTGCGTCTTTGATAGCGCGGAGTTGGGACCGGATGAGGTCGGGGTTTGGGCGGCGGAGGATGCGGATTAGGTCACCGGTTGGTGTGCGGACGAGGTCTCCTTCTTGGGGAGTAGATGATGATGACGTTAGTGGTGATGTTGAGGCAGCCTTGAGAGCCGCTTCCTTGTCCAAGGGCGTTGGATTGAGATCGTAGTCTGCCGGCACGATGCGCTCATCGATCTCAACGACGGTCGAGTGTAGAGCCGTGGGCTTGCGGATGTTGAGATCAAAAAGTTTTGGACGGGACTGGTCGCCGATGACGCAGACATCTTTGAAGCCTTTGGTGGTGAGGAAGGCGAAGCGCTCGCCCTTGTGTTCTAAAAGGGCGTTTGTGGCGACTGTGGTACCGATGCGACATGATGCTGAGAAAGTGTTAGCAAGACTCAAGATGATGAACAATGTGAAAATTCACCGATGCGCGAGCCATCTAGTTTTTCGCCGATGGGAATGGGCTTCCCCTCTACGAATTTCAGGACGCGTCTGATGGCTTCAGTCGGGGCGTCAGGGTAATTTGCTGGGTCTTCGGAGAGAAGCTTGAAGATGAGGGGTTCACGACCGTCGATTTCGGCGATGACGTCGCAGAATGTGCCGCCGCGATCGATTGAGACTCTGATGTCGGCGGCCATGATGCTCGGCTGAGACTGGTAATCCCTTGTGGTGTTGATGCTTAGTTGAGTTCTGACCGTGAGTCAGGACTGAGGAGTACAAGAAATGTTTCAATGAATGCTCATAAGTGAGAACGAGAGTGAGTCCATGAGATCTCGCTCACGTCCGGCCTTCCGAAACGTGGATCATGAGCGAATGTGAGTAGATCTCATCAGCGTAAATAAGAGAATCTCATGAGAAGTCTCATTAGTCTTGTCGTTCCTTGCGGCAATTGATGCCGAGTGCCTGGTGGGAGGGACCGCCGATTCCGCCCCTCCTCAAGCAGCTCACCAAACAAACAAGCGTCTGCCGGTCGGGCGTATCGGGCGGCACGATTGCGTGCGACCGGACGCTATCCGCCTCTTGCGGACCCAGCGTCGGGTCGTCCCCGACAAAGACTTTACTTCGACCGCTCATGCTTATCGCCCGTCAAGTGAATTCGGCTCTATGAGTTCGGTATGGTGTCTACGTTTCGTGAGGCTCAATTGGGGGCAACGACTACACATATGATTGCGCCATTGATCCTACAGAAGTCGCGTCCCGAGTCATCCCCGGATGTTTCCCCCGAGGGACGGGTCGATCATGACCCTCCCACGAGGTACGCGAGCACCATGGTGTCCGGCTTCCGAGGCCGGTGCGAGGGTGCACTGCCGTCTGTCAACCGGAGCTTGGCGGTCATGTTTGTGACGAGCAGAATGCTTAAGCTGAGTTGCAGAGACCGCGTGGCAAGTGTCCTTCAGTTCGGACGGAAGAACGTGTGGAGTGAGTCGAAGGCCAATAGACACGCCGATCACTCAAGCAACTTGGCATTTTTGGACAGACAACCTTGTCAGGCACTCTCGTGGCACACAATTCTGCCCCAACTTTTATCTCTGTTTGGTTCTCTTTCAGAAGAGTTTGCGGATTGAGGGTAGCTTTGGACGACACTTCATCCGTGCGATCGGTTCATATGGCTGAACTGAGGTGCACTGAACTGGCATTCAACAACTTCGAAGGCTTCCACTGAACTCATCAATGCGCGTTTGCAACATCGTTGGGTCAACGGGATCACTGGCCATGATAGTAGCTTGCGCCAACCGCATCATCACAGCAATCGCTGCCCACTTCTAACGAATCAATCTCCATCGAAGTCCGACTAGCGCCCGACTCAGGGTTCGGACGTGGAATCTCCCGAGCATTCGCGACTCACTCGGCTTGTTGTGGGCCACCGGCAAGAGGGCTTAGAGGTTAGGACCTGAGCTCAGTCGTTCAGGATCGCTAGACATCACCTAGGTCATACGCAAACCTTGAGACTTACCAAAGACTTAGCAAGACTTGCTAATCTTGCTCAACGCGCGCGCCTCGTGGTAAATAGACCCAAACACCTGGAAGCGGCACATAATTCCCGGAGTTTAGTATCCGCAATTGAATCTGGGGAAAGCCTTGGTTGTTTTCACTTTCCACCAACGAGCCACCAGGCAAACTGCGCCGAGTGAGCCAACTTCCAACAACACTCCACTTTGCAATATAATTAAGTTGCCATTGTCCGTCCGATTGCTTAGTCTGGCAACTGTTTCCTAGGGGTCGCAATACAGACTTAGCCACTAACCAGGGCTGCGAGACACCACGCGTTCAAGTTGAAACGTCATTGTTAATATAAATGGAACGCATGATGGCAAAGCCACGCCAGAGAAGGCCGAAAGTGTTCGTCTCAGCACACGGGTCTTTTTTTAAGGTTCTCGGTTGGGCGGCACTACTGCGTACGCACCAAGCCCACGGTTCCACGGTGACACCGATGTCCCATCCCACTTGGAAGCTCTCGAGTTGTGTCGCTTCGCTTACGATGGCCTCGAGACATCGGCTCGAGTCAGCGAGATTGTGATGATCTATCAAAGGCTTGGACGGCAGGAGGTCTCCGTGAATCGATGAGTAGAACTTCTATATAAGTAACTGAGGAATCTCTTTAATGGCGTAATACTTGTCCCCCATCTCAACATCTCTCACTCACACAACTGTCTCTTTCGCAACGACTTCACTACCAAAAATCAACTTGCCCCTCTTTCAACCTCAATCAAAAACCACCACTACAAACAACAGCCAAAATGCAGTTCCCTACCTTCGCCGTCCTCGCCAGCATCATGGTCGCTGGCGCTTCCGCTCAGACCACCTACGAGACCGCAAACTACCTGTCCGTCTGCCAGCAGGGCACCAACCTCTTCTGCACGGGCAACACCGGCGTCTGCCAGAAGGGCAAGACGGACACCTTTGACGCCAAGGCTACCAAGGCCAACGAGGACTCCTGCAAGGGCCTCAAGCGCGGCGACGGCTGCACCCAGACTGTCGCTTGCGTCTAAATTCCCTGTACGAAATCATTTTTTGGTCATTTTGAAGCGATGAAGGAGAGATTGATGATTTTTGGCATGGGCGGTAGCGTTGCTGTTTAGCAGAAGCATTGGGGAGGGAAGGGGTAGGCGGGTTGGGCACGGCAACCGCTGCACCAAGATCGCAACCGAGGAAGGCCACTTGAGATAGACCTTGCATCTTATCACGAAGATGACACAACCCAGAAACAAGTTGTTCTTGTCACACTTTCTTGACTGCCATCGTATCTAAGTGAGGTGCAATGTCCCTGGCAATAGGCAGATCTGAAATCTCACCTGTCTAGGAGTTCCGGGGGCCAGGAATGCGGAGCTAGTGTTTGTTGACAAGCGAGTCCAAGTCGTGCGAATTGAGGAGCTTTACTCTCGACATCCCGCCTGGAGGCTGTTCTACAAGACCCGTTGTTTCCATTTGGATCTTACTAACTACTATGGAAAAATTCAAAGTCTAAAGGAAGTCTTTGATTCGTGGGACCCCGCTTTCTCTTCAGTCTCTTTCCCACCACGTTTGCTGCAGCCCTAGCTTTATGTTCTGATACTCCTTCATTTCAGTTAAGATCGGCAAAATGGCCTCCACGCAAGCTAAGTCTATGCACGGCAAAGTCGCCATTGTGACTGGCGGTTCTAGAGGCATTGGTGCCGCTATTGCTCTTGAGCTAGCCAAGAGAGGCGCAAACGTCAGTCCAAAGTCAACTTCCCCGATCATTGATGAGCCTGGACCACTGACAGAAGTCCACAGGTCGTTATCGCCTATGTGTCAGAGAACAGCGTGAATGTTGCGCAAGATGTAGTAAATAGCGTCAAAGGCTTGGGCAATGGGGCGGATGCCATCGCAGTGCGAGCCGACATCTCCTCGCCCGACTCTCCCGCGCGGATCGTTGAGGCCACCGTCAAAGCGTTTGGAGAACACATCGATATCCTCGTAAACAACGCCGGTATAACATCTAAACTACCCGTGTCAGATGTTACACCAGCAAACTTCCAGGAGAGCATCGACGTCAACCTCAAAGGGCCCTTCTTCATGTCTCAAGCTGTCATACCGCACCTCCGCCGTCCAGGCCGCATCATCAACATCACCTCCGTCGCAGCCCGGGGCGGCTACGCCTCCGCGAGTCTCTACTTGGCCTCCAAGGCCGGGCTGGAGGGCCTCACACGTGCCCTAGCCGCGGAGTTGGGCCCGGCGGGACATACCGTCAACGCGGTTGAGCCCGGTGTCACGGAGACGGACATGGCGCGCGACTCAGGGGCGTCGGAGGCTCATGGGGAACATGTCAAAATGATTGTGGCGATGACGCCTTTCGAGAATCGGATGGGCAAGCCGGAGGATGTCGCGTATGTTGTTGCTATGCTTGCTGAGGAGCAGGCAAATTGGGTTACTGGGCAGACTATATCTGCTTCTGGAGGGTTCTCAATGTTGTAGGCTACCTTTAACTCCGAAATTCACAGCTACTATTTCCCTCAGGAGTAACTTCAAGATCTTATTCAATGAGTCTCTGCACTGTGTCTCATAAGTTTGCCTACGATTGCTCGAAGAACCATAGCTTTCTTGGATGTTTGGGTTATTCGCTGATAATTTTGCTTTACCGTCAATCTTCAGACTCATTGTGGTGTATTCATAAAAGATGCGTAGATTTGACTCCAGCCCCTGCCCAGAACCCAGGCCCTACTGACGTTTGCAACAAATCAGTTACGCGGCCATCATGAGCTCCTGCAGGCGGCGCAGAACCTCGTCCTCACCAGGATAATCAGGACCTTTGATAGACTCAAAAGCCGGGAGCAGGACAGCCTCGTCAATCTCCTTGTATTTCCCAAGCTGCACATGGATCACATTGCCGTTCCGGGTAGTGTCGGCCATTAGATACGCTGCGCCGCGGGCAACGGCTTCAGCGGTCTGGATCTCGACTCCAATCTTAGCCATAAGACCTTTCAAGTCCGGCAGCACGCTGCTATCCGCCCACGTCGGCGCCAGGGTGTTGACTCTGATGGGCAAGTTGGCAGATGCGATGAGCGGGACCAGGCCACGTCCGAATCCGAGAACCGCATGCTTGGCCGTGGCTGAGAGATGTTGTTAGCTGGAAAGCAAGCCACAAAGGGGCTCCAACTCACAGTAGTCTACAGCACGAAGCCGCTGGAGACCGGTGGTAGAACCGTTGATAACAATACTGCCACCCTCGGCCTGTTGCCGCATGTAATATATCGCGATCGTAGCCGTGTGCATGACACCTGTGAGACTGACATCCAGAAGCTGGTGTGTTGGCTCTTTAAGATCGCCGTTCTCGTCTACTTCAGTAGACAGATAGTTGGCGCGAGGACCAAGGCCAGCGTTGGCAAAGACATGGTCGATACGTCCGTGGACCTCCTTTGTCTTTTTGAAGAGTGCGATCTGGTCAGCCCAGATGGTGACATCGGTCTTCACAAATGTGTAAGAATTTTCGGGTTGCTCCGCTGGCGGCTGAATATCTGCGTTGACGACGGAGGCACCCTGAGAAAGAAGCGTGTTGACTGCAGCTAGGCCAATGCCTGATGATCCACCAGTCACGATGGCCACCTTGCCCTTGAGGCTGATCAAGTCTTTGTCTTCAATAAGGAATTCGGCCATGTTTGTGTATGCAATGCGATGTCGTTGAGAAGGAGTTGCACACACGTGGCTTGGCGGAGCTTGTCGATATTAATAGCCGATTCACACCCCAGACCCAGTTACTTGCAGACATTCTTCAAACCCCTCCCAGATACCAGGCAACTGTAATGTCGTGCGACGTGTCGGTCGTCGAATGGGACTCAGACCGGGTTTTGGACTGTATGCGGTGTAGCCAGGTCCATTTTCAAGCTAGGGGAGCGGAAAAGCGGCCACTTTGGACTTTCTGTTTTAGTCCCAGAGTGCGACGCGTCAAGTGAAAAGCGCATGCTGAATAAGGGCCCCGGTACTTTGCGTTATTTCTCAATGATCAGTGACAGGGGTTTTTGTGGGATGTGCATTGGGGGCGGCCGCCGTGTCACACAGCAAGCGAAGAAATTACATCTTTGACGGTTTCGTGGCGCTGATTGGATCTTGTCGGTAAGTGAAATAACATGTCTATCTCCTAATAATTGCAGGTCGCTACATGATTACGGTGCATGTCGTTACCAGAAAGAGGAGACTGAAGGGTTCAAAGACGCCGTGACAACCATCTAGTTTGAACAATGTTACTTTCAGGCCAATATACTAAGTAGGAATCGAGGAGAGTGATGTCAAGGATCTCGTGATTCAAGCAGACTTCTTGCCGCACTCAGTCAAGGACTCACGTCTAGCCGGCATACGTGGTTGTGAAGATTGAAAGATACTTGCAGTCCACCACTGGCTTGAATCGTTTGGAATAAGATTGGAATGCATAGGTGGTCGACTAAGTAACCAGAGATCCAACATAGACTTCAATCTCTTAAAGTAAGGGTGAAGTGCATGAGTGGCAACATTGTAACTAAGGTACTCAACTAACGACTTGCTTGTTGAGGAATAGGGTTTGCACATTACAGAACCCTTTCAGACCATTTGCACCCCACTCGGTTCCAATTCCACTCTCCTTGTGCCCTCCGAATGGAGCTAAAGGTGTGAGATCGAAGTGTGTGTTGACCCAAACATTGCCTGCTTGGATTTGCCTAGCAATCTTGGCGGCTTTTTCAAGGTCGTTTGTCCACACGGATGCTCCAAGGCCCATCGATGTGTCATTGGCACGGGAAATAACCTCATCTTCGCTGCTCCAGGAAAGAAGAGGAACAATAGGACCTGTTCAAAATGCATCAGAGCCAAGATTCTTATGGTTGGCAAGGGCCGGGGGAACCTACCAAAGGGCTCCTCGACGACCAGGCGCGACTTCTCAGGAGGGCGGTCGATGATCGTAGGGGTAATGAAGTAGCCTTGCGACTTCTCAATGTTGCCGCCTACAGCGACTTTCCATCCTTGAGACTCGATGTCCGAGAAGAATGTTTTGACTCGTTCATACTGCATCGAGTTCTGCAGAGGTCCATGAGTGACGCCAGGTTGCGAGCCATCACCAAGGTTGTATCCCTTGACGTGCTTCACTAAGGCTTCCTTGAAGCGGTCGAAGATGGTCTCATGCACGTAAATGCGCTTTAGATTAAGGCAGATCTGAGTGAAAAGTGTAAGTGAATAGTTGCGGAGATAGAGAAACGGTAGCGTAAACATAAATACCTGGCCGGAGTTGAGAAAGGCGAAGAACGCCACCTTTTGTCATTTTAGTCAGTGATGATCAGTAGGCTGTAGAGTCGTTGAGTTAAACACACCTTCTCGGCGACCTTGTCAACATCTACATCCGGGAACACGATAGCGGGATCATTTCCTCCCCTTTTCTCGTAAGTCTTTGCTTGACCAATTCAGCAATACCAGTACACTCACAATTCCAGCGTGACTCTCTTCAAAGTCTTGCTTGCACTCTGCATCACTAGTTTTCCCGTTGCTGTGGATCCAGTGAAGCTGATCTTGTCAATGCCCGGGTGACTTGTCAACCAAGGTCCAAGGTCGTCGTCTCCACTCAAAGACTGCACCACACCCGGCGGGAAGAACTGTTGTGCTAGTTCAACTAACTTCAGCCCACAGTACGGGGTGAAGGGTCTGCGAGTCTGTTAGCATCCATAGCATGGCTTCTTATTGTGTCAACATTCATACGATGGCTTGACAATGATCACATTTCCGGTCAGGAGGGCTGGCGCAATTTTACCCGTAGCTAGAAGCAGTGGAAAGTTCCACGGAACAATAGCTCCGACTACACCCAGAGGAGCGTAACGAGTGATGATGGTCCGGTGATCGTTGTCCTCTACAACATCCTCCGGTAGTGAGATACCGGCCATGCCACGAATCCAGCTGATCGCAGCCTCTGTCTCGGCGTCTGCTTGAGGGATCTAGGGAGTGTAAGCGTAACCTGGCATTCGATGCTATGAAGAAGACTTTGTGTAGGGGCTCATACTGGCTTTCCTTGTTCAGAGATCAGCAAGTCTCTGAACTGGGTTCGGTGGCTATCAATAGCATTCGCATATGCCAGAACAGCACTCTTTCGGTCTTCGTACGAAACCTTCGACCATGCTTTGAAGGCATCCTTTGCTGCAGCGACGGCAAGATCAAGATCCTCGCGCGTAGCAATAGGAACCCCTGCTTTTGCAGTCAGGTTTGCCGGATTGATGCCATGACGGTTGTTCACTGTTGGAGAAGCTTTTCCGTCTATAATCTGAACAAAATCGTCACTGAAACTCAGTGCCGTGAAGCTGTGATTGTTTATAGTATCGGCCATGACTCGTTTTGCTGTGGGTTGGGAGAATAACTGACTGTGATAAAAAAATTCTACCCCGCACAGATTGTTGAGGTTTTGTTGGCAGGCTCTTGAAAAGGGCAGTCATCGGTACGAGGACATCATTCAACATGTATCTAAGACATTTCGGTTACTCAGCTGGCAGCACAAGTACCCCGCAGTTCGAGACACTCCAAAGACCGGACCGACCGCCGATACGTCGTGCATCTGCCCTTTCTAGATCCTCGGATAACATCAGTTATGACGAGCTCCGGTTCAGTCGGTCCAATAATTCCGGTCCGGGGTCATCGCCCTGGAATCAGAACGGCCATATCATACCACGATAGGTTACCGGTTTCAGTGAGATCACGTTGTCACGCAGGCGATATAGGTCGGCCGAACTTTCCAAAGATAGGTAGCCGACTCCTCCCCCAGTAAGGAAAACAATGCCGGGGAATTTCCATAGTGAGACTTCATTATCTTGTCTATAGTAGAATTGATGGAGGATTATTATTTTCACGGAAGACTGAAAGCAAGTCATGTTATGGCCTATCTTAGTAAGCGCCAGCGACCCGACAAGTCTGACAGTGCCGACATGGACATTACACCAATCCTGCTTCATCGCTAGGTTACATAGATACATGAAAGTTTGATATTGCGCAAGCAATAACCGATCTATGAGCCTCCCCGTGGTCGACCAACTTGGAGAATGACGGTGGAAACTTTTACATGTGTGGATCTATATGGTAATCCACATTAGGTATCTCACTGGTCTGGAGAGACATTGGAGAGGGCATGAAGAAATTCAGAGTACACTACTCCATTGATAACAAACAGAAGATGGGAACTAAGGCGACTTATATATTGGCACAGGTCGATATTGTCCCACGATGCCGTGGGAATCAATCAAGAGAAGGATCATCAATCCAAGCCAGAGTACCTGAATACGTAGCGCCTCGGGAAAATTCACCAATCACTGCCCTCTGATATCCAGAGCAGAATTGTCCACATCGAAAACCCTGGCCATGATACCACCTGTCTCAAGTATGATGAATCGACGGCTAACATTTCATATCGCTGAGACCTGCCGGCAGCCCGTCAATTCAACATAATTTCAACCACGAGTACAGAGAAGATCTTGCCAGTCTTTGATTCATGGTAGACGGCTGTGAAGCTGATTAATGGGATCTCAAAGTTGAAGATGAGACGCCATGCCTAGAGAGTAAAAAATGGTACAGACCCGTGAAATCTCAAGCGCTTTCGAAACTCATGCCACTGCTTTCGTCCATGCCCAGAATGAGGAAACGCCTTTGTCTCGCAGATGACCGTTCTCGCAGATGACCTTTGCTGTCTCAATCTCATCAAATGACTTACACGCCAGAACGCTCCTTATCCCGGGTCTCTCGTATTTAGACTCCGATGTCTGATGGTAAATTGCTATCGGCAAGTGATTCCTACCGCTCTAACCGAGAAGCTATGAAAAGACGCCACTGTATCGAGCGTCTGGGTGGGGTTACGATGTCACCCCCATGGCGGTGACCTACTGCGTGAAGCGAAAATTGTACTAGTCTTCCAAGGTATTGGTGCTAAAGAGCCTACAGTAGAACGATGCTGGAATCATCTTCACGTCACACTTCCCGCGGACCGGCGGTCAGCTGAAACTCAGCCGCAAGCCATGTCTTGGGTTAAAATCTGCCGAGCCTTGCTGTCATTGTACCTATTTCAATCGAATCTACTCAAAAGTCTATAGATCTAGTTATATTGAGACTTTGCACTTCATCTTGCGCCATGACATAGTATTTTGAAGGAGGCTGCAGGAGCCAGTCATATCTAGCACCATATTGCTCGCCTCCTCAACCTTAAGCATTTAGTAGACGCCTACTGCCCTCTCAGCCTCCCTACCTTGATACAGAGACGTACACCTACTATGGTAGACAATACGAGAGCCTAGAGATGACTCCTGAATGACGTGTCAATCATGCAGTTCGCCAAAGTGCCAAGATTCTGGCTTGTGGATGAAGACGCCTTGTTTCACTACTTGAAATCAAGATATCCTTTGATAGGAGCTGAGCCCTAATTTGCAGTTATATAGATACTGAGCGGTCAAAAGGGGTTCAACGCTGTTTGGTGCGGACTGGAAAAGGTCCGTTGAGACATTGAGACATTTCTTCAACATCGTCTTTGCAAGGATATTACACCTATCATCTCTTCCATGCTGACATGGTATGGGGTGATTGATTACCTACATCAGACCCAGATACCCCGGCGAATCCCAGAGTGAAGACTGGCTACTCCCGTGCCGTTACGATTGAAAGATTGCATCGAAGCAAATTCCTTCTTCCTACCTCTTCTTATTCTCAGTTCTGCCACGGGAGTCGATTTCGCTCTGTCGGCTTTGGAAGTTGTACCACAAGCAAGAGACCGAACTTCATTTTCCAGAATCGCGATCCTACTTTAAAGCATTATGGGTCTGGACGATCTCTTCCACCACTTTGACAAATCCGAGTACACTGCCCGGATGAAATCAAGCACGGACAATGAGCTTGTCCAGAGAGATGTCGTAAAGACCCGTCAACATCTCACAGCATACTTCAGCGGAGGAACATATTTGGGAATGGCCATTCCAACTTGCGGCGCATCACTCATCATGGCACCATTAACAGCTCGAAGATACTATATCTCTAGGCAGAAGCTTAAGATCGTACAAGCCGAGCTAGAGCGCCGCAATATTCCCCTGTACGAGACCCGGAAACGTGACGTCGCTATATCCGCCCTCACCGGGACCATCGGCCTCGCAGTCGGCATAGCGACGCTCGGTGTCACCGACGGCTTGACAGACAGTCTCACATTCACGTCTTTAGGGAATTCGGGGGCTTCGGGGGCTTCGGGGGCTTCAGCCATTGATGCTTTATCTGCAGACCCATTCAGTGCGGTAGGCGATGCCGTGCAAGGGGCGGTCGCGCAATTCCAGGAGGTTAGCATCAATATCACAGGAGACACCATGGGCCAGACCATCCTGCCTGAAGGTCAAATAGTTGAGTTGCATGACCTTGAGACCGGAGCAACAGCCGACATGATCGTCGCAACGCCGGAAGTGGCTGGCGCATGGAATATGGGTGTCCACTTGGCGCAGTCGGCTGAAAAGGCCTTGGCGCAGTCGGCATTCTTGGACGCGGCGGGGTCGGCCTTGGTCATGGAAGCCGTTGCAGGATATGGAAAAAGTAGGGGACGATGTTGTCCTCGCCTTTTGGGTGTATTTGGTGCCATGAACTGCGACTGTTGTGGAGAGCACATCGGGAAGAGGCAGTACCATCGTAAGTTCTCCGCCCCCCCTTCACCGTGTTCTTGTGTCTTTCTTGTAGCTTCCTAGTTGAAACACGTAGAACATGACACACCCATATCGCAGTCCTTGATCTACTAACGTGTGCCGAGCTAGATTGCTGCCTGTGTGCAAGCGATGATTTCGACCTTTGCCAAGCCTGCTATTCAAAGGGCTCGAGATGCCTATCTGCTTCTCATGACATGACCCTATTACAACTTGCCACGAACCAAGACCTATCGTCAGAGATGCCTATCGTCAACTTGTATCCGAATTGGAAACACGAAGCTATTGAGTTTGTCACACGTTCCCAACTTTCAGGTGGAGAATATACACTATTTGGATGTGACCATTGTGGGGAGGCTATACGCCAAGGTAACTGCTATCGTGAGTTTCCTCAGACGACCTCTAAAAGGCATCGCAACTAACGGTTATATGCAGACTGTTTCCATTGCGGGAACTATGACTCCTGTGAAAGGTGCTACAAAGACGGTTCCAGCTGCGGGACTATAGATCACGTCCTCACGGCTCTTGTCTGCGCAGTCGACTGCTCATCTCATCGGTATTGGGTCAGCGACTGCCGAAGGTCCGAGGGCATGTGCCCTGGAATACAATGCAGTAGTTGCCACCAGCTGGTCACCCAAGGCCGATACTATCGTAAGTTACTTCTGTCGTTGTCGGCCCTATGTGTCTCCAGACCACAATTGACGTTGCGGTGTAGATTGCTGCAACTGCGATGGAGACGACTTTGATATTTGCCATGCCTGCTACAAGTCAGGTGAGAGATGCAAGAATCCCACACACCATACATTACAGTTACATCTGGGGGGCAACGACCGCTTTCTTCTGGAGTACCCCGAGACATGTGCAAGGCGTAAGTATACCCTCCAGTCTTCTACCGTTTATTGTGATCATTGTTCGGATAAGATTACTCGAGGAAGTTTCTATCGTAAGTGGATCTTTTTTGGAAACCGTGGAAATTGTGAAGAAATTTTGTTTTGCTGACTTGTGAACTTTCAGACTGCTGTAAATGTGAGGAGAATTATGACGCTTGTGCGAGCTGTTATTCGAAGGGCAAGGGTTGTAAAGATATATCACATTCCCTCAATATACACTATATAGAGTCTTGAGGTGGCCTGATTCCCCTTTTCGGAACGTACCTAAATTGCAACTTCTAATCGTTCGCCTCGCATTATTGAGTCTGAGACAGAGTTTCATCGTTTGGCAGGAGTTCCCTTACTAACCGAGAGGTAACTATTGCATTCATCTCGACTTTGTCAAAAGAGAACCGATACCTGGTATGCCTAAGTAGTAAGTTGATCAGGGTTCTCTGGGAAGATCAGAAAATCTGATGAATCATAGTAGGGGGAATAAGGACAAAACGGTGATGGCGCACCGGAAGAAGTTTGGGCCTGAGCTACGTTGTTCCTAGGAAATTTTCTAGCAATGATGCTGCTCATATCCCAGGTCGCTTCATGTTTCTTTCCTGGCTTAATGAGCGAAAATTTGAAGACTGTGAACTCAAATCTTGAAATACATGAAAGGGCACTCGTTGAACTACATCAAGCAACCCAGCCTCTTCGAATAAGCGTCCGAGCTGAAAACGCGAATTATCAAATCATGGTTGAGGCTCACTCTGCACGCACACAAGTACTCATGGACACGAAAGGCAACACCTTCTGCATTCCCCCACGGAGTGAGAACCATGCTCACCAGTGATCCACGCCATACATACCAACATGAGTGGCTTGGACATAAGAGAAAATTAAAACCTCTCCTACAAACACATGTCCATGCCCTGCATGAGATGGGTTCTTCATGCTGCACTTTGCCCAAAGATAATACTCCTATGACACATCGGGCATGTAACACCTGACGACAATGAGAAGTTTCTTTTCGCAAGCCACCAACAATGACAGTGTCGGAACGTTTATCAGTTGCTGCTGATAGGTAACTGGGAATGTGTCTGCTATATTCACCAGTACTGCTGTGGGCAGGCGGACATTATCGAGATTCATGTCGCCAGTGGTCTTTTTCTTTCGATGAACGGTGCTATCCAAAGAAATTTCGGGATCCTAAATAAGAGTTGTTGCACTATACGCTCTGTCTGCTGCCAGGTTGCCTATGTCGCGCTCGCTCGACCCTGTTTCAAGAGACCTCTTGGCCATCATGGAATGTGATGCAGATCGCACGGTACTCGCGCTGCAAGTTACCATACTCGCTTTTCCATACGACATGTCTGATCCATCTAGGGGTCCGTCCAATGGCTGGTGATTTGTCGGATGGTCTCAAATGCGCCATGTCTTCGAGGTAGCCCAGATTTCCCTTCTTTCAGGAGCCGTATCTCCAGCATCGAGCCTACGACATGGGATGAGGTAAAATAATGAACTTCAACAATATTTCCATTCCGCCCGCGTGACATTTAACACCTTCTGGGGCTGTGAGACCTCGGCCTTGCGATGCCCATGTTCAAGTCTCCTTCGGAATACGTAAAGCACTATTCTTTACGCATCTTGAGCTCGTCGCCTTTACTGCCACCGTCACAGTTTGCGTTTCCATCTCGGCTAGCCAAGGACTTGCTACGAGAGGAAGATTCTTTGGTGTTCCCCTAACTAATGAGACCGATCCAACCATAGCAACCGTCGTGCTGACCACAGCAGACGCTGCGTCCTGGCTCTCATGAGCAACAGCAATATCCTCGTTCTCATTGATGATAGCGCTCATTCTACAGTTGATGCGAACAGATGAGGTGTTCTTCGATGCCCTAGAGAGGACAGAGGGAGGTCGCAGTCTCAACCTAGCAAGAGCAGGTGTGGTGTCTGGGAGTTGGGTTGCTCTCTTGTTACAAGCAAGCCCATTAAAATTTATAGGTCAAGCTCTGAGGGCGATTAATAGTGAGAGCATGACACAAGTAAGTACCACTCTTGGTTGGCTTCTTGTGCTGGTGCATCATAATTCTGACTTCGATTCAGTGGGCATTACTTGCCGTGGGGACAACTTTAATATTCTTTTCCCTACACACCATCAAGTTCTTGGAGACGGTTAGAAACTAATTTCGAGACACCTGAGTTGGGGTGATGGATATCTCTATACAGTAACTTCAGAGTGCTACTTTAGTTACAAGCGCTGACAGCGGAAGTGCTTTGATTATCGCAGAATATAATTGCGCGAAGGATAGAGCAATGTTGGCCGGTAAATACTATGCGATCTGGTACTTCGCATCATTCAGATACTTCTCTTAGCGCTTTGCTGTTTCTCATGATACATCAACCCAGCCTGGATTGGTGTTCTTATTGTGTTTGAGCGTTGCTTCAAGTTCCTCAATGACTTGGTCTCGGTCGAACATGTATCGAGCATGGGAATGAGAAACACAAGCGCAAAGAAAGGTGTTGTTCTTTATCTTTGAATGTTTAAGGCGATAAACACCTCGTCTGTTTGGGTTCGTTCGTAAATCATGGACTGTGCCTATTGTTCTGAGGAAGGCCGGAACATGCTGAGAGGGTAATCACGAAAACAGTGGTGACGTCTCACAAGAAACTTGATACATAGTACAGAGGTGACCTAATCTATGCAGGCTTACTCTGACAAGTAGCATGGATCGCTCCATGGCGATGAGTGTCAAGTGGTTACTCAACTACATGTGATGTCCCCTTGGTGCCTGAGCAAAGCATTCGAAACCTATGCCTTTAGATTGCGATCATACTATCTTGGCAGTGCGTCGAGAGTTTGTACAATATCGCACGGGTAACATTGACAGTCGACTTAGAACCACTGGTGTGAGCTGTTTGTTGACTCGTTATAGAAGAAGGCGATGCCGCAATATCGAGCATGCATTAAATGCAACCTAACGTCCAGGGAAACGACAAAAATTGCCTTCGTTGACTCAAACCTTTCAGATGCTTACGACATTTGATACTTGATGGATAGTCTACTATGTGGCACAAGAGCACTGGCGAGGTTGAGCCACAGATCTCATGATCTCGTCCAGTTTGCGCAATAGTCATACTTTGTGGTCAGAAACCTTCTGTACATCGCCACATCGCAGTATGTCTCTAACAAATAAACCAATCTATGAGACTTCTCTACAATACTTTGATGACAAGTAAACCGCCGTTTCGGATTCCAATTACGAAGCCTTGGCCAAGAGCTTTGAAATTAACTCGCGCGTAAAGAAGGGCCCTCATTTCCACGATTCATGGAAGGACCACTATCATTGAGGTGTGTCAATAAACCTAGAAGCTAATGACCGCTGACTTTGATTGTTACCAAAGCCATGCGAATTACAGCCATGAACTGGCAACTATAATAGCGCTCACTTCGTAGTCAACATACAGCCAAGGCAAGTAAAGTGCCCTATCTCAGCCAATACTCCACAAAGCCCGTTCAAGGCAGGCATGCGTCTAGTAGTAGACGGAAATAATTGACCACACTTTGACAATCATGCTTCATCTAAGCGCTTATTAACATCTTCAAATAACTTGGCGACTACGATTGCCCCCGACCTTAACAAGATCGTCGACGGGCCGAATATGGCAATGATCATATGATATGAATCTAACAGCTCGATTGATGGCGTGCACCTTGTGGAGAGGCTACCTTCAAGCGTGGCGAAACACCCATTAACAATTTGCCTAATGCTTTGTGGCTTCCAATCTTCAGCGTCGTATCGCTAGCAACTTAATTGCGGTGCTATCGTTCTCAGTTCTTGAAACCAACTGTCACCCCTAAACTCTCCGAATATTGGTCGCCGCCATCCTAACTACCGAGGACTTTTCACCGTTAATACCGTCTGTAAGTCGCCATTACATCATGGTGTCATGCATGATTCCACTCCCCGCTACTATTTCAAGAAATTCATCATACGTCTATAAGGTTTAGAAGACCGGTGATATACCCTCCCAAACGCGAACGACAACCGTAACAAAACGTCAACCTGTTCCAACCCACCAGTTTGCTTCTGTCGCATACGCCAACGGACAATCACTTGAACATACTCACCGTCTCACAAACTCTGTAGTCGCATAAACAGAAACTCTTTTGAGAAGTCCCAGAGTGGACATGTCGCCGAATTGGTTGTCAGCGGCGAGGTCTGAAACGTGAGCCTGCCCCCCGCTACAGCAGCCCAGCGCGGGGGGGAGATTTGTCCCCTCAACGGAGAGGAGCCTCCTTCGTCTTCGGATGATCAAGTTGCCATGTGGTCTCCCTACCAGCGTGTCATCCGCGGACAAGCGACGGTTAGAAAGGCCAGGCCTTTTTCTTTCTCCGTCTGATGTTCGGCAAATAGCGAGAAAAATCGCCTTTAGGTTTGTGTAGAGGCTTGGCTCTTAGACCGGGCGATGCCGAAATGTAAAGCTGCAGCAATACTGTCTTGCCTCTGATATAGTGATAACTCGTCCTAAGCCATTATGCAGCAATACCATTGTCGCCCACGTCCCGATCGGTTCGCCGAACGTTGCATCGCATATCTGTACATCCAGTCTACAGTTCCCAAGGGCAGAGATTAGGTCCATATGCGGGATGTCAACGGCACTCTCCATGGCATGAGAGCAAATATTGCTTCATTCTGGATCAGTCCAGCATCGCACGATCACAAGTGATGATGTTACAGCAATTCGTGATCGTGTGCGGCGGTAGCTGATAAGACCCTGATATGCCGACTAGGACGTATCTGTCAAGACAAGCAAAATCCTCCCATGTAATCGAGAGTTTGAGGGAATGTTCCTGGATGATCTCAATTTTCAACGGTGGTCCGGTGGGCGTCACAGTGGGGGGTTCGTATCCTGGCCTGCAGCAATCAACACTCTAACCGCGTCAATCTGGTCTCGACGCCGAAGCACGTTTCTCACCTTCTTTTAATTGAATCCCCTCGTTCCAGACTATCTCTTGTTCATTCACCTCCCAGGTCCCTCGAAGTTCCATCTATCTACACCCCCAGCCGCTGTTTGAAGGCACGCATCACGAACCCTGACAGCCACGATGCCAGCTCTTAATACGAAGAGATTATTGACCAGGACCCAGACAGGGCTCCATCAGGGACAAGGGTTTTATTCTGAGTCCTGGCCTATTTTGGAGTGAGGGTCAGTGCGGGAAGGATGCAAGAAAGACGGCAGGCCATCCATCCCTCCACCACTTCTGCTTCTTGATGGACCGAAACCGCGCGCCGCGCCCTCATTGACCGCATTGACAGCTGGAGCTTGGATGGGTTTGCAGAAATGGAACCCCGCGCGTCCACTTCAGCTGCTTGTGACGATGCCAGATGCTGGCCGCCGCCCCGCATTGTCAAGCGACTGCAAGGGAACGAGGCGGGAAAGAGGGGAAGCTCGTTGCTTTTCTTACTCCAAGGTGCCCTTCGCTTGCGGTTTGACACCTAGTCAATATGAGACTATCGATTATTGAAAAGCCCGTCTGCGATGTGATGGAATGACGCTGTGATCCTCAGTCCGCATCCATATGTCGAGTGCAGGTCAGAAGAGAGGGGCAAGCAGGGCGCAAGCCGAGGGTCGTCCTCGTCGTCGGGAAATGTCACAAGTCAAGTTGACTCTTGTGATCCTTGAACGCACGGACACGGCGCAGATGGAGCAAGTCTGTCAGAGGCGGAGGAGAAGAGCAAAGATGTCCACTGTGCTGCGTGGGTTCGTGAAACGCGTCTAGTGGGATGAATGTGATATCGGACGCGGGCAACCGGGGGAGGCCCAAACGCAAGGAAGAAGAAATGACGCTCCATCAGATTTGATGAACATGACCGTCGCGCTTTAAATGCGTGTGTTTGTATTCTATCTCGATTACGTATACCGACTGGGTTGCGGCGTTGTCCTTTTGTCTTGGAAGATCGGGAAGATGGGCGGTGCAGCCGGCGAGTGGGAGAAGCCGGAGCCCGCTCCGGACCCCAGCGCCATATCCGTTCCGGCACACCGAGTCCATTCCGAGTACAACCAAGAGCGTCCGGTGGGCGGAAGGCTGACTTTCGGGACGTCCGCTTTGTAGCATCTCAAAACAGCAATGTTCTCGAAGAGGGGAAATCCAAAAAGTCAACTCAACTTTTCGCTTGACTTCTCCCGAGAGTTCAGATGCACACAGACCCATAGTCTCTTCTTGGTCCGGTTGATATCATGTATCTTAGCTCACCTTTTGAATCCATCACTTTCCTTTTCTCCACGTTTTCTAGACGCTCGCGAAACAACTGGTACCGCAGCACTCGCCGTTTACTACCGGCGTGTTCCGGAGTGTAACCACGCATCCCATTCAACTTCGCTCTAGACTAGAGGCAAGATAGCAGAAACGCACTGTGGCTATCCTAGGTTGAGATGTGATGTGCCCGGTTTCGCATGAACGTCTTCCCAGAAACCCACGCATCGGACAAAAAAGAAGGAAGAAAACGTGGATTCAGCGGGGATGGTCCTGTCCTCGCAAGTTTCTCCAGCCGGCGTTGGTGTGAAGGAGCTTTGGTCCCGTCGAGCGATCTCAGCAGCATGTCCTCATGGCTGCCTACAGGGAGAGCCCCAAGACGAATGTCAGCGATACCCCCTGCCTCTGAGCACCTCGATATCTGCATCGCTCTCCCTACCACTGCATATGCAACTCTATCACGCCCGCACAACACCCAACCTGTTCCCATGTTCCCAACTTTTTCATGGTCCTTCATTCCGGATTCTCGATTCCCTTGCTCTTGGACCCAGCTCCAAGTCCACAATCGCCAAGCATCCCGATGACGAATTCTATAGGGGTACGTTCAAACGGGCGTAATGCTCCACTTGAAGGCTTTCAGGGTTTATTGACAACCGGTAATCGGATTGATCATCTGGGCCGTCTCCATGGCAGTCCAGAGGGGAAAAGACTGAGCGCAGACTATAGAGATCGCCAATCCAAGCTTCCCAAGGAACCCGTTATCACGACCCGTCCGAGTGTGCCGAAGTTTTCGCTGATTTCACGCATATCACGCAAGCAACCTCAACATGGACAAGCCTGCCTCTATCCCCATC